GAAATTTTCAGAATATTTAGAATCTATAGAACTCCGGAATATCACGAATTTTTGCAATTTCTGAAATCTCTGGAATTTTTGGGATCTTTATAACTTTCAATCTTGCAAATACTGGAAATTTTAAATATCTTCGTTCAAAATTTTCAAAATCTAAAATCTTCACTCAGAATCTTCAGAATCTCCAGAGAATCTTCAGAATCTTTCGAATTTTTAGAATCTCTGGAATCTTTGGAATTTCTGGAATATATAGAGCCTCGAAATAGATATGGATTTTTTGGAATTTCGGGATTCTCTAAAATCTTTATAATCTTTGAATCTTGGGAACCTTCAAAATCTTCAACTTTTTTTTGGAATCTTCAGAATCTCTAGAATCTGTCGAAATTCTGAAAGCTTTGAAATCTTTATATTCTTCCGAATCTTCGGAACCTAGAAGTTTTCAGATTCTTTGGATTCATCAGCCTTCGAAATATTCAGAATCTTTAGAATATTTAAATCTTTAGAATCTCTAAAATTCTAGAATATTCGAAATTTGGAATTTCTGGAATCTCTAGGAACTCGGAATATTCGGATTTTTTTTAAATTTCTGGAGTGTCTGGTGAAATCTTTATAATTTTCAATCTTACAAATACTTTTTGAAATCCTTTGAAATACTCAGTACTTTCAAAATATTCAGAATTTTCAGTATTTTTGTTCAAAATCTTCAGAATGTACCATCTTCATTCAGAATCTTCATAATCTCCAAAATCTTCAGTCTTTCAAATTTTTAGAATCTCGGGAATCTTTAGTGCCTTGAAATAACCGGAATCTTTGGAATTTCTTTAATATTTAGAGTCTTGAAATAAGTAGATATGGAATTTTTCAAATTTTTGGATTCTCTGAAATCTTTGTAAAGTTTAACTCTTAGGAACCTTCAAAGTCTTCAACTTTATTGGAATCTTCAGCCTTGAAATACTCAGAATCTTCAGAATATTTGGGATCTTCAAAATCTTCAGAAACTTTCGAATTTTTAGATTCTCTGAAGGAATAGATTAATTTGGAAATCAGAAAACTGAAAATTTAACGTCAACATTTTTTCATTGAAAAATTTAAATACTGAAGAACTGAGAAGTCAAAAAATCGAGAAATCGAAAAATCTAAGATTTAAAACATTGAACAATTAAAATATCGCAAAATTGAAGAATCGAGAAATCCAATTCAATTTAAAAAATTGAAAAATTGAAAAATCGGAACATTAAAAATTAGAAAATCCAGAAATTGAGAAGCTCAAAAGAAAAAAATCGAGACACCGAGAAAACCAAAAATCGATACATCGAAAAATTAAAAAACTGAGACATCGAGAAATCGAAAAATCGAAGGATCGAGAAATTGAGGAGTCGTAAGTCGAAAAGGAAAGTTAAAAATTGAAAAATTTAATGTATAAAAAACGAAAAACTGAAAACCCAAAAATAAAAAATCGAAAAATCTAGGGGTCGAAAAATCAAAGAATCGAAGTATTGAAAAATATCAAAACTGAAAGAAATATCCAAAAATTGAGAAATCGAAAAACCAATAAAGCGAAGTCGAAAAATTGAAGAACTGAAAAATCGAAACTTTGAGAAGAGGGAAAATCAAAAAATAGATTAATTGAGAAATCAGAAAACTCAAAGTTTAGCGTCAAAATTTTTTCGTTGAAAAATTTAAATACTGAAGAACTGAAAAGTCAAAAAATCGGGAAATCGAAAAATCTAAGATTTAAAACATTGAACAATTAAAATATCGCAAAATTGAAGAATCGAGAAATCCAATTCAATTTAAAAAATTGAAAAATTGAAAAATCGGAACATTAAAAATTGGAAAATCCAGAAATTGAGTTCAGTTTTAACACTGAAGGAATAGATCGCTACAACCTCTGAAATCTTTGAAATCCTTATATCCTCTAGGATCTTTGGAACTTCAAAAGTTTCAGATTTTTTGTAATCCACAATTTTCGAAATATTCAGAATATTTAGAATCTATAGAACTCCGGAATATCACGAATTTTTGCAATTTCTGAAATCTCTGGAATTTTTGGGATCTTTATAACTTTCAATCTTGCAAATACTGGAAATTTTAAATATCTTCGTGCAAAATTTTCAAAATCTAAAATCTTCACTCATAATCTTCAGAATCTCCAGAGAATCTTCAGAATCTTTCGAATTTTTAGAATCTCTGGAATCTTTGGAATTTCTGGAGTATCTAGAGCCTCGAAATAGATATGGATTTTTTGAAATTTCGGGATTCTCTAAAATCTTTATAATCTTTGAATCTTGGGAACCTTCAAAATCTTCAACTTTTTTTTGGAATCTTCAGAATCTTTCGAATCTTTCGAAACTTTCGAATTCCTAGAAACTCTGAAAGCTTTGAAATCTTTATATTCTTCCGAACCTTCGGAACCTAGAAGTTTTCAGATTCTTTGGATTCATCAGCCTTCGAAATATTCAGAATCTTTAGAATATTTAAATCTTTAGAATCTCTAAAATTCTAGAATATTCGAAATTTGGAATTTCTGGAATCTCTAGGAACTCGGAATATTCGGATTTTTTTAAATTTCTGGAGTGTCTGGTGAAATCTTTATAATTTTCAATCTTACAAATACTTTTTGAAATCCTTTGAAATACTCAGTACTTTCAAAATATTCAAAATTTTCGGTATTTTTGTTCAAAATCTTCAGAATGTACCATCTTCATTCAGAATCTTCATAATCTCCAAAATCTTCAGTCTTTCAAATTTTTAGAATCTCGGGAATCTTTAGTGCCTTGAAATAACCGGAATCTTTGGAATTTCTTTAATATTTAGAGTCTTGAAATAAGTAGATATGGAATTTTTCAAATTTTTGGATTCTCTGAAATCTTTGTAAAGTTTAAACTCTTAGGAACCTTCAAAGTCTTCAACTTTATTGGAATCTTCAGCCTTGAAATACTCAGAATCTTCAGAATATTTGGGATCTTCAAAATCTTCAGAAACTTTCGAATTTTTAGATTCTCTGAAGGAATAGATTAATTAGGAAATTAGAAAACTGAAAATTTAACATCAAAATTTTTTCATTGAAAAATTTAAATACTGAAGAACTGAGAAGTCAAAAAATCTAAGATTTAAAACATTGAACAATTAAAATATCGCAAAATTGAAGAATCGAGAAATCCAATTCAATTTAAAAAATTGAAAAATTGAAAAATCGGAACATTAAAAAATTGGAAAATCCAGGAATTGAGAAGCTCAAAAGAAAAAAAATCGAGAAACCGAGAAATCCAAAAATCGAAACATCGAAAAATTCAAAAACTGAGACATCGAAAAATCGAAAAATCGAAGGATCGAGAAATTGAGGAGTCGTAAGTCGAAAAGGAAAGTTAAAAATGGAAAAATTGGTAAATTGAGAAACTGAACAATCGAAACAACGAAACATCTGAATTCGATAAATTGAGAAATTAAAAAATGGAATAATCGAAAAATTTTAAAAAAGAAAAACTGGAAAATCGAAAATTAAAATGAAAAAATTGGAAAAATTGAAAAATTGAAATACAGAAGTATTGAAAACTCGAGATATTGAAAAACCTAGAATTTTAAAAAATGAAATATTAAAACATCGAAAAAAAAATCGAAGTATAAAACAGTCGAAGAATTGAAAAATCTAAAGTTCAACAATAAATTGAAAATCCAAAAAGTAAAAATCGAGAAATGGAAAATTTGAAGAATGGAAGAATTGGAAAAGCCCAAAATTGAAATATTGAAAAATTGAGACATTTAAAGTTGAAAAATCGAGAAATCGAAAAGCCTAAAAGTCGCAATAGCGTATTTATAAATCACAAGATCAGGACTAAAAATTTTAAAATTTAAATAACATAAGTAACATTCTAAATTGGAAAATGTTCATTTTTTTTCCAAAAATCTTGACGTCCAAGGTGAAAACTCAACACGGATGCATAAATCGTAAACGGAGGATATAGTATTGTAAAATTTGGAGATTGCGTCATTTCATTGTTGGTGACAAATTTTGGTGAGTGTTTTACCATTTGATAATACAATTTGAAATGTAAATTTTGTCATTCGGAAACATTATGTATTAAATCGTTAAGATGTTCAAGAACTTTGTTCACTTATTCTTTGTAAAGTCCAATGGTCGAAACGGGTTAGTTCTTCGTAGTGGATGTGTATCAGATCAACTCTAACGAATGTCAACTTATAGATAGATCGCTTAAAGCCGATATTGGCCTGAGTGTGGTTTGGTCTGTAGATCAAATAAGTTCTCAGGCGACGAAAAATTGCATGTGGAGGGAGACTTCGGATTACAAAAAGTTTATGTCATTCTATTATTTACTTTGAATATATATTTTCATTTTGTGTTAATATTTTTGTAACACGACGAATCAAAATTTTACTAAATCTTGTAAAACTAAACAATTATACCAGTTTAAAAACCCTTTTTAAAGTTTCTGTCAGTCTTCAGATATAGTCAAATAAAAATAGGCGTCAAATTCATTTAAATACAATTCTTTCGTATCACGTTACAACGCGTTGCTTCATATTTCTTATGTCAAGTATATTTTCATATTTTGTATATATATGTCTATACACATTACTTCTTACGGAACAATGTTAATTACGGATTTATGGATAACTCCTCGTATAAGAGCAGAGTGAAGGGTGTTTGCCTTTGCTAATGTTTGATGGCGCCATCTGAAGTAGAGTAAAATAAACCTAATACGTTCGCTCACTGTAGTGAAAATGCGCGTTGACGAAAAATTTGTCCCACGCCCCCTGGATTCCTTGTCCTAAAGCTCCCTATTTAGGCGAAGTAAAATTTGTATTAGGTTGTCCAACTATAACATACTTAAACGATGATTGTATTTAACCATGACTGCTTAATCGAAGAGAACCTGTTTCTAAACTAGCCGCCCAAGCAGGGCTGCCAGTCACACGAATAATAAATTAAAAAATCAATATTTCCAAGGCGAGACGAAAACCCGCCGCTATAAACAAACCTTCGCTACGCTTTCATTATTATTGTTTATTTTTGTTGTTTTCGTCTAAAATTACGCCGCTCGATCGACGTTGGCAGCCCTGCCTGTCATTGTTGGTAAACTGCATCAAGCGTTGTCAATTTTTAAACAAACCCATATTTTGCGAAAAAAGTGCTTTTTTTAACATAAACAATGTTTTGATTCGTAGATATAATGGACCTGCCTCAGCCTCCACAAGGTAAGTCTGTTTTTTCGTGAAAATGCGGCCGCGGCGTCGATGTGTGTAGTAACATTGAGGTTATGTTGTTAGATACAGAATTAAGAAATATAATCGACAAACTCGCCCAGTTTGTCGCCCGAAATGGCCCAGAATTTGAACAGATGACCAAAAACAAGCAAAAAGGCAACCCGAAGTTTCAGTTTTTGTACGGCGGTGAATATTTTAACTACTACCAGTACAAAGTGACAACAGAGCAAGCAGGTTTGTGGGTGAATGGGGGTTTTGCGGTTGCTGACGCGTTTTTGTAGTGTTGAAGCAGCAGGGGATTATTGAGAATAGCCCGAGTAATTGGAATTCTCCTTCTGCGATGCATAATTCTGAAGTGGATCAGCTTACAATTCAGCAGGATAGCTTGAGGGAGCAGATTAAGCAGAGCGAGCAGAATTTGTCGGCGCAGCATACCGTGCTTTTGCAGCAGCAGCAAGCTCAAGCTGAGGCTGTAGTGACAAAGTGCGAAATCGCGGGGTTGCAGAAAGAAGCGGATTCTAGTGATATTAATCTGCAGGACATTTATAACATTTTGCAACCTATTATAGATAGTTGTACGAAGGATAGTATAAGTAACGGGAAATCGTGGTTTCTACAGCACGCCACTAATAAAGATCAGGCTTACTGCATAGTCCATTGTCTACTTGCCAAGTGAGTTTATTAATAAGCTGTTTCTTCAGGTTTTAAGTTTAAAAATATTTTTAGAGTGATTGAAGCGTCCGCGTTTTCGCAAAAACTACACATCATTTATTTAGTGAACGACCTTTTGCATCATTGGTGAGAAAAAAATTATTAAAATACCTTCTTAAACACGCTCCAGTTTCAGCGCTAGGAAAAACGCCCACGACCTCAAAGAAGCGCTGGAGTCGGTCGTGGTACCCATGTTCTGCAACGCGCACATCAGCGCGTCCGAAGAACAGAGAGCCAAGCTAGAAAAGTTGTTAAAACTGTGGGAATCCAAAGCTAACTACCTTGACCCGAGCACAGTGGAAAAAATGCGCCAACCCACCCAAAGCTACCAGCAATACCAATCTCAACAAATGATGAAATACAGCTCAGAAATCACCTCATTGGCTCAACAAACTAAAGCCACTTATGACAGTTACCAAGCCCAACACCAGGCTTTCGTCTGTCACGCTATGCAACAAATCGCGGATTTGCAGCAACAGAAGCAAGCTCTCGAGCAGCCGCAGCCGCAACCGCAACCGCAGCCGCCCCCCATCCAAAACACCAACATAATCCCGCTCGAGACGATCCAAGCCAGCCTGCAGCAAACCATTCAGAATCTAAGTCAGCAGAACAGCGCCACCACTCAGAATCCACCGACGACTCCGAACTTTCCAATACAGACAATGAACCCTCCGCCCGCTCAGCCCCCAAATGACTTTGTCCCGATGAATCCGTCTATACCGCCCCCGAACATGACGACACTGCCGCCGCCGCCGCTGGGCCAGAGTCCCGGTTTGCCCACCAACGGGATGGACAATCCGTTCTCGCAGCCGCCTCCAGGCTATTTCCCTCCGCCGGGAGTTTTTCCCGACTTTTCCAAACCGCCGCCGGGGTTCGCGCCGAACCCCGAGCCGCCGGCCGTCGAGGAGCTGATGCCGACGGCGCCCTACTACGACCTCCCCGCCGGACTTATGGTTCCGCTGATTAAGGTATGAGCTTTGTAAGGGTAGATTTTTTTTGAGATATAGTTTGTTTCTTCGAGGAAGATGTTGAAGCGGCGTTTGATATTTTTCGTGTTGCTTTAGAGGGTGCAGGATGAGTCACGTTTAGCTGGTTTTGTTGATTCGTCCTGTAGATGGCGTTTTGTATAAAATCTATGATTTCAAGTAAAGAATTACTTATAGCATTGTTTAAGTATATTATAGTTGGACAACCTAATACAAATTTTACTTCGCCTAAATAGTGAGCTTTAGGACAAGAAATCCAGGGGGCGTGGGACAAATTTTTCGTCACGCGCATTTTCACTACAGTGAGCCAACGTATTAGGTTTATTTTACCCTACTTCAGATGGCGCCACCAAACATTAGCAAAGGCAAACAAACACCCTTCACTCTGCTCTTATACGAGGAGTTATCCATAAATCCATAATTAACATTGTTCCGTAAACAGTAATGTGTATAAACATATATGTACAAAATATGAAAATATACTTGACATAAAAAATATGAAGCAACGCGTTGTAACGTGATAAGAAAGAATTGAATTTAAATGAATTTGACGCATATTTTTATTTGACTATATCTGAAGACTGACAGAAACTTTCCAAGGGTTTTTAAACTGGTATAATTGTTTAGTTTTACAAGATTAAAGTAAAACAAGATTTTAAGTAAAATTTAGATTCGTGGTGTTACAAAAATATTAACACAAAATGAAAATATATGTTCAAAGTAAATAACAGAATGACATAAACTTTCGGCGTTAACATTACAAAAAATTACAAGAGAGAAAAAAATGCATAAAGAACTTAAGAGGCATGTTTGTAATATCGAGTTGTTAAAGGCTGCTTTGAAGACTGTTTGTTTCTATGAAAAACAATTGCTGTTATCGGACATTTTGGTAGATTTTGTTCAAAAAATGCGAGATAACTAAAATATTACGCCGAAAGCACTTCTTCAAGTGTTATTTTTTTTAAGATGTCATATTTGTCAGCGTTTCCAAAATTTTCTTCTTTGCACAGGTCAACTAATTTTTCGTAAACCGCATTTTAAAATTTTTGTTATTGTATTTTTTACTTTTTAATTTTCTAAGGCATGAAAAAATCCCATATAGGTTTCTATGAATTTATTAACGAAATCAACTGATAACTTGCGCGCCATTTTGTGTTAATTAACACCAATTGTGATTATGATAATTTTATAATTATCATTTTAATGAAATTGTTCTTCACTTTGCGAACGACAGCAAACAATTTAAAATTACCGCTAGTCAAGCACCTGAAAATCCATCTCTCCCAAATGTGTCTTTCTTGGCACGATTTGTAATCCGAAGTCTCCCTCCACATGCAATTTTTCGTCGCCTGAGAACTTGTTTGATCTACAGACCAAACCACACTCAGGCCAATATCGGCTTTAAGCGATTTATCTATAAACCGATATTCGTTAGAGTTGATGTGATACACATCCACTACGAAGAACTAACCCGTTTCGACCATTGGACTTTACAACGAATAAGTGAACAAAGTTCTTGAACATCTTAACGATTTAATACATAATGTTCCCGAATGACAAAATTTACATTTCAAATTGTATTATCAAATTACACCCTCCAAAATTTGTCACGAACAATGAAATGACGCAATCTCCAAATTTTACAATAGTAAAATTGTAGTTTCGCGCCGTTTACGGTTTATGCATCCGTGTCGAGTTTTCACCTTAGACCTCAAGATTTTTGGAAAAAAAATCAACATTTTCCAATTTATAATGTTATGTATTTAAATTTTAAAAAGTAGAATAGTCCTGATTTTGTGATTTATACCTAAATACGCTATTGGGATTTTTCGGCTTGTCGATTTCTCGATTTTTCAACTTTAAATGTCTCAATTTTTCAATATTTCAATTTTGGGCTTTTCCGATTCCTCCAATCCTTAAATTTTCTATTTCTCGATTTTTTTATTTTTCGATTTCTCAATCTTACGATGTTTCAATGATACGATTTCTCAATTTTTGTCCTCTTCAATTTTACGGTTTTTAAATATTTCGATTTTTCAATTTTTCAAATTTTCACGTTTCTAAATTTTCAGTTTGCCGATTTCTAAAGTATTTTTTTTTATTTGTCCATTTCTGGATTTCCTAAAGTTTCGATTTTTCACATCTTCAATTCCTCAATTTTTCGATTTTTTAAGATAACGATTTTTCAATTTTTCTTTTTTAGATTTTCGATTTCTCAATTTTCCAATTTTTTAATTTCTCAATTTTTTGAATATTTCTTTCAGTTATGAGATTTTTCAATATTTCAATTTTTCGACTTTTCGATTTTTGAATTGATGGATTTTTTTTGATTTCTCGCTTTTTTCCTTTTTGGATTTTCAATTTATTGTAAACTTTAGATTTTTCAATTCTGGGACTGTTTAATGCTTCGATTTCTCAATTTTTAAACTTTTCGATGTTTTAATATTTCATTTTTTAAAATTCTAGGTTTTTCGATATCTCGAGGTTTCAGTTCTTCTATATTTCAATTTTTCAATTTTTCGATTTTTTGAATTTTAATTTTTGATTTCCCAGTTTTTCTTTTTTAAAATTTTTCGATTATTCAATTTTTTAATTTCTCAATTTATCGAACCAAGATGTTTCGTTGTTTTGATTGTTCAATTTCTCAATTTTTCAATTTTTAACTTTCCTTTTCGGCTTCCGACTCCTCAATTTCTCGATCCTCTGATTTTTCGATTTCTCGAAGTCTCAGTTTTTGAATTTTTCGATGTTTCGATTTTTGGATTTCTCGGTTTTTCGATTTTTTTCTTTTGAGCTTTTCAATTTCTGGATTTTCCAATTTTTCAATGCCCCGATTTTTCAATTTTTCAAATTGAATTGGATCTCTCGATTCTTCAATTTTGCGATGTTTTAATTATTCATTGTTTTAAATTTTAGTTTTTTCGATTTCTCGATTTAAATACTGAAGACTTTTCAGTTCTTCAGTATTTAAATTTTTGAATTTTTCAAATTTTTGCGTTAAATTTTCAGCTTTCTGATTGGGCATAAAATGGTGTACGGGTTCTATGCGGTTATTTCCTAAAAATAATTGATATTTTGTGGATTGGTGCTATTCTGCACAATAAAGGACATACTTAGAATAATATTATTTAATGAACCCAAACATAAAGAATGTGGTTTAATAATTGATAAATTTAAGAATTTTCCATTTCAAAATCAGGTGTGCCAGTGAAACGCTGTACATCATCTTCTATATGACCAGAAGAAGCTAGATTTTTGTAGAAGGGTTGTGCATCTGCCGGTATTAAATGCAGAATTGACTGGAAATCTTTCAATTTGGGGTCACTTATCGGGACATAAAGGTGTGAATGAGTCTCCCAATCGACTGATAGGTTGACCAGGTCTTCTTTTGCGTAAATCAATTTTTGCATATTCACTTACAAAATCTTCTTTGATGAAAAGGTAGGATGGTTCGCTGTTTTTAAGTAAAATTTCCCTGGCATTTAGCCAACTGATTTTTTTTGCCCTCGATGTCTACTTTCCTATTAGATATTTTATTTTCCAAATTTTTAGTTGAGTAAAAAAAGTCTTTCATTTTAATTACATTAAATTTGTTTTTATTTCGATACCCAATCATAACGTTCGGATAGTCATCCGGAAAATATAATCGTTGTTGGTGTTTTAAAGCAGGTTCTATATTAGCAAAATCAGAATCGTTTGGTAAGAAACAATGGCCCGAGATCAAAAAACGAACACAATAAGTTACAACTAAAGGAATCTCTGTATTACCAGTGATGTATGCGTTTAAATTCATCCTTTATTTAAATAAAAAAATGAACGGCAATTGTAGTAGGTATAGTTATTATGATATTTTCATTATTTTTCAGTTTTTCGACCGTTTTATATTTCGATTTCTCAATTTTTCAACTTCTCGATATTGTAATTTTTCATTTTTAAAATTCTAGATTTTTCGATTTCTCGAGTTCTCAGTTGTTCTATATTTTAATTTTTTTAATTTCCCAATTTTTAAATTTTCGATTTTTCAATTTTTGAGATCCCGATTTATCAATTTTTCCATTTTTAATTTTTCGATTTGTCGATTTTGGCCTATTTCGGTTTCTCAATTTTTCGATTTTTCGACTTGTCGACTTTTCGACTCCTCGATTTCTCCATCTTTTGTTTTTTCGATTTCTCGATGTCTCAGTTTTCGAATTTTTCGATGTTTCGATTTGTCGGTTTTTGATTTTTACTTTTCGATTTTTCGGTTTTTCTCTGTTTAGATTTTGATATTATTCGATTTTTCAGTTTTCCAATTTTTTTTAATTTTCGAGTTTTGATTTCTCGATTTGTTGATTTTTTAGTTTTTCGATTTTTATATTTTAGATTTTTCAATTTTAATTTTTTTTATTTTTTGATTTTTAGATTTCTCCATTTTTCAATTTTACGATATTTTAATTTTTCAGTGTTTTAAATTTTCGATTTTTCGATTTTTCAGTTCTTCAGTATTTTTTAATTTTTCAAATTTTGACGTTTCAGAATTTTCCCATTTCCGATTTCTCAATTAATCTACTTTTTTCGACTTTGCTTTTTGATCTTTTGATTTCTCAATTTTTCAATTCTTTAACTTCCTAATTTTTGAATATTTTGTTCAATTTTGTGATTTTTCAGTTTTTCGACTTTTTACTGTTTGAAGTTTCAATTTTTCGTCTTTTAAACTTTTCGGTTTTTAAAATAGTAGGTTTTTCGATTTCTCGACTTTTCAGTTCTTCTATCTCAATTTTTCAATTTTTGGAATTTTTTAATTTTTGATTTTTCATTTTTCAATTTTTTGAATATTTCTTTCAGTTATGAGATTTTTCAATATTTCAATTTTTTGACTTTTCGATTTTTGAATTGATGGATTTTTTTTCATTTCTCGATTTTTTACTTTTTGGATTTTCAATTTATTGTAAACTTTAGATTTTTCAATTCTGCGACTGTTTAATGCTTCGATTTCTCAATTTTTCAACTTTTCGATGTTTTAATATTCCATTTTTTAAAATTCTAGGTTTTTCGATATCTCGAGATTTCAATTCTTCTATATTTCAATTTTTCGATTATTCAATTTTTTAATTTCTCAATTTATCGAATTCAGATGTTTCGTTGTTTTGATTGTTCAATTTCTCAATTTTTCAATTTTTAGCTTTCCTTTTCGGCTTCCGACTTCTCAATTTCTCGATCCTCCGATTTTTCGATTTCTCGAAGTCTCAGTTTTTGAATTTTTCGATGTTTCGATTTTTGGATTTCTCGGTTTTTCGATTTTTTTCTTTTGAGCTTTTCAATTTCTGGATTTTCCAATTTTTCAATGCCCCGATTTTTCAATTTTTCAAATTGAATTGGATCTCTCGATTCTTCAATTTTGCGATGTTTTAATTATTCATTGTTTTAAATTTTAGTTTTTTCGATTTCTCGATTTAAATACTGAAGACTTTTCAGTTCTTCAGTATTTAAATTTTTGAATTTTTCAAATTTTTGCGTTAAATTTTCAGCTTTCTGATTGGGCATAAAATGGTGTACGGGTTCTATGCGGTTATTTCCTAAAAATAATTGATATTTTGTGGATTGGTGCTATTCTGCACAATAAAGGACATACTTAGAATAATATTATTTAATGAACCCAAACATAAAGAATGTGGTTTAATAATTGATAAATTTAAGAATTTTCCATTTCAAAATCAGGTGTGCCAGTGAAACGCTGTACATCATCTTCTATATGACCAGAAGAAGCTAGATTTTTGTAGAAGGGTTGTGCATCTGCCGGTATTAAATGCAGAATTGACTGGAAATCTTTCAATTTGGGGTCACTTATCGGGACATAAAGGTGTGAATGAGTCTCCCAATCGACTGATAGGTTGACCAGGTCTTCTTTTGCGTAAATCAATTTTTGCATATTCACTTACAAAATCTTCTTTGATGAAAAGGTAGGATGGTTCGCTGTTTTTAAGTAAAATTTCCCTGGCATTTAGCCAACTGATTTTTTTTGCCCTCGATGTCTACTTTCCTATTAGATATTTTATTTTCCAAATTTTTAGTTGAGTAAAAAAAGTCTTTCATTTTAATTACATTAAATTTGTTTTTATTTCGATACCCAATCATAACGTTCGGATAGTCATCCGGAAAATATAATCGTTGTTGGTGTTTTAAAGCAGGTTCTATATTAGCAAAATCAGAATCGTTTGGTAAGAAACAATGGCCCGAGATCAAAAAACGAACACAATAAGTTACAACTAAAGGAATCTCTGTATTACCAGTGATGTATGCGTTTAAATTCATCCTTTATTTAAATAAAAAAATGAACGGCAATTGTAGTAGGTATAGTTATTATGATATTTTCATTATTTTTCAGTTTTTCGACCGTTTTATATTTCGATTTCTCAATTTTTCAACTTCTCGATATTGTAATTTTTCATTTTTAAAATTCTAGATTTTTCGATTTCTCGAGTTCTCAGTTGTTCTATATTTTAATTTTTTTAATTTCCCAATTTTTAAATTTTCGATTTTTCAATTTTTGAGATCCCGATTTATCAATTTTTCCATTTTTAATTTTTCGATTTGTCGATTTTGGCCTATTTCGGTTTCTCAATTTTTCGATTTTTCGACTTGTCGACTTTTCGACTCCTCGATTTCTCCATCTTTTGTTTTTTCGATTTCTCGATGTCTCAGTTTTCGAATTTTTCGATGTTTCGATTTGTCGGTTTTTGATTTTTACTTTTCGATTTTTCGGTTTTTCTCTGTTTAGATTTTGATATTATTCGATTTTTCAGTTTTCCAATTTTTTTTAATTTTCGAGTTTTGATTTCTCGATTTGTTGATTTTTTAGTTTTTCGATTTTTATATTTTAGATTTTTCAATTTTAATTTTTTTTATTTTTTGATTTTTAGATTTCTCCATTTTTCAATTTTACGATATTTTAATTTTTCAGTGTTTTAAATTTTCGATTTTTCGATTTTTCAGTTCTTCAGTATTTTTTAATTTTTCAAATTTTGACGTTTCAGAATTTTCCCATTTCCGATTTCTCAATTAATCTACTTTTTTCGACTTTGCTTTTTGATCTTTTGATTTCTCAATTTTTCAATTCTTTACCTTCCTAATTTTTGAATATTTTGTTCAATTTTGTTATTTTTCAGTTTTTCGACTTTTTACTGCTTGAAGTTTCAATTTTTCGTCTTTTAAACTTTTCAGTTTTTAAAATAGTAGGTTTTTCGATTTCTCGACTTTTCAGTTCTTCTATCTCAATTTTTCAATTTTTGGAATTTTTTAATTTTTGATTTTTCATTTTTCAATTTTTTGAATATTTCTTTCAGTTATGAGATTTTTCAATATTTCAATTTTTCGACTTTTCGATTTTTGAATTGATGGATTTTTTTTCATTTCTCGATTTTTTACTTTTTGGATTTTCAATTTATTGTAAACTTTAGATTTTTCAATTCTACGACTGTTTAATGCTTCAATTTCTCAATTTTTCAATTTTTCGATTATTCAATTTTTTAATTTCTCAATTTATCGAATTCAGATGTTTCGTTGTTTTGATTGTTCAATTTCTCAATTTTTCAATTTTTAACTTTCCTTTTCGGCTTCCGACTCCTCAATTTCTCGATCCTCCGATTTTTCGATTTCTCGAAGTCTCAGTTTTTGAATTTTTCGATGTTTCGATTTTTGGATTTCTCGGTTTTTCGATTTTTTTCTTTTGAGCTTTTCAATTTCTGGATTTTCCAATTTTTCAATGCCCCGATTTTTCAATTTTTCAAATTGAATTGGATCTCTCGATTCTTCAATTTTGCGATGTTTTAATTATTCATTGTTTTAAATTTTAGTTTTTTCGATTTCTCGATTTTTTGACTTTTCAGTTCTTCAGTATTTAAATTTTTGAATTTTTCAAATTTATGCGTTAAATTTTCAGTTTTCTGATTTCTCAATTAATCTATTTTTGATTTTCCCACTTCTCAAAGTTTCGATTTTTCAGTTCTTCAATTCTTCGATTTTTCGACTTCGCTTTATTGGTTTGTCGATTTCTCAATTTTTGGATATTTCTTTCAGTTTTGATATTTTTCAATACTTCGATTCTTTCATTTTTCGACTTCTAGATTTTTCTATTTTTTATTTTTGGATTTTCAGTTTTTTGTTTTTTATTTCAATTTCTCAATTTTTCAACTTTTTCATATTTTAATTTTTAAATTTCTAGATTTTTCGGTTTCTCGAGTTTCCAGTTCTATATTTTAATTTTTTAAATTTACGAATGTTTAAATTTTTTGAGATCTCAATTCATTGAGATTCGGATGTTTCGATGTTCTGATTATTCAATCTCTCGCTTTATTAATTTTTCCATATTTAAGTTTTCGATTTTTCGATTTTGGCCTACTTCGGTTTCTCAATTTTTTGATTTTTCGACTTCTCGATTTTTCGACTCCTCGATTTTTTTGTCTTTTGATTTTTCGATTTCTCGATGTCTCAATTTTTGAATTTTACAATGTTTCGATTTTTCGATTTGTTGGTTTTTCGATTTTTTGCTTTTCGGTTTCTCGATTTTTCGATGTTTCGATTTTTGATTTATCCGATTTTTCAATTGTCCAATTTTTTAAATTCTCGACTTCTCGATTCGTTGATTTTTCAGTTTTTCGATTATTAAATTTTAGATTTTTATTTTTTTTTGATTTTTTGATGTTTAGATTTCTCCATTTTTCAGTTTTAGGATATTTTAACTTTTCAATGTTTTAAATTTTAGATTTTTCGATTTTTTAGTTCTTCAATATTTTTTTATTTTTCAAATTTTGACGTTTCTGAATTTTTAGTTTTCGGATTTCTCAATTAATCTATTTTTTTATATTCCCATTTCTCCACTTCCTAAAGTTTCGATTTTTCAGTTCTTCAGTTCTTCAATTTTTCGATTATTCAGGTTTTCGATTTTTCAATTTTTCGATTTTTTAAGTTTGCGATTTTTAGACTCTGCTTTTTTGACTTTTTTGTTTCCTAATTTTTTAATTTCCTAATTTTTTGATATTTCGTTCAATTTTGTAATTTTTCAGGTTTTCGATTTTTTGAGTTTTCAGTTCTCTATATTTCAATTTTTCAATTTTCGGAATTTTTAAATTTTCGATTGTCCAATTTTTTTTATTTTTCGATTTTCCAATTTTTCGATGTTTCGATTTTTGAATTAACCGATTGTTCAATTTCTCGATTTTTAAATTTTAGATTTTCCAATTTTAATTTTTTTGATTTTTTTATGTTTCGATTTCTCGATTTTACAATTTTCCCATATTTGAATTTTTCAGTGTTTTAAATTTTCGATTTCGGGGATTTACTTCACTTCATAGTGAAGCGAGTGAGATGTAAAATATATATTCATTCTTTTCTACATGGGAAAGTGATTGTCCGTATAGGTTGTCCAACTATAATATACTTAAACAATGCTTATTGTATGTGCGGTTTTTTGAAAAGGCGGCACATTTGTAGCTCGGTTGCTTTCTAGCGAGCGGCAAAATTAATGCGGCGGACTTTTCATTAGTACATTATTTGGATTGATGATTTTATGTTAAACGCCTGGGTAGGTTCAGAATGCGTACGGACTATTATATAGTGTTTTTCACTGATTAAAAATGTTTGGAATTCGTTTCCTTCGCATTCTGTAACTGAGACTGAACCGCCCACTTTTGGATTGTCTTTCAAAGTTTGTCAAAGTGAGACAGACGACGGTGATGGAGTCTCGAATAGTAGAAAAAGTTGCACAGAGTCTCCATTAGCAAGGTCGATGTCTCAACCTTGTGAATGTTAGTTTATACAAAAACCGATATACGGATGTTCCCGACCATGTAATAGTTTTTGGCACACTTATTCTAGTTGGAAGATACAACATATAAACCGTTAGATCCTAAAGATATTAGGTTGCCACCACCAGCGCCCCCTAGCGATCGCCTCCTGGCCGCTGTGGAAGCCTTTTATTCACTCCCCAGCCACGAACGGCCCCGAGACAGGTAAAAAATTGACAATTAGGTCACATTATTGTCTCAGATTTTCTTATATAACATACACATAATTCTTAAAAAAAAAATAATTTAACCATTATGTTGACGTGTGGTTCCTCTTATAAACTATGTACGTTGTAAAAACAGTGAAGGTTGGGAAAAGCTAGGTTTGTATGAATACTACAAGGCAAAGAATAATGCGAAACGTGAAAAAGAAGAGCAGATCGCCGCCGGTCTCCGAGAAAAATCTCGTAGTCCCAGTCCGATCGTACTGCCAGTCGAAAAAGAGCCGTCTCCCCCTAAGCGAAGGTACACGAGTAAATCGCCTTCGCCTCCCGCCAGAGGGCGCCGTTCCAAATCCCGATCTAAGTCGAGGTCGAGGTCGAGGAGTCCGAGGACGCCGCGCCGAAGACACTCGAGGAGCGGCCGAAGGCGGCGAAGCGTCTCGAGGTCGCTGTCGAGGTCCCCGATCCGGCGATCGCCGTCACCGCCGCCGCCGACGTTAGGTTTTAGGTCGGTAGAATTCGTACGAGACATTTCGAAGACGCGGTACTAACTATTTTTTTTTAGTGCGCCGAACTTTGTGCGGAACGAAAGACAAGAAATCGATTCTTCCAATAAGGGACATCAAATGTTGAGGAAGATGGGGTGGGGTGGGAGCGGTTTGGGGGCTAACGAACAGGGGATCGATGCGCCTATTTCCGGGGGGGACGTTCGTGATAGGCAGGACCAGTTTAAGGGTGTGGGGTGTAATTTGAACGATCCGTATGAAAACTTTAGGAAAAACAAAGGGGCCGCGTTTATAACGCGAATGAAGGCGCGAGCTGAGGAGAGAGCCAATGAGAGTAAGTTACTTGATTACTAGGTTTTTTATTTCCATTTTGTTTCTTTTGTACATATTTTGGAAAACAAAGCAAAAATAGTGAGAGTTGTATTTACATGTCAGACGTCTTTTTTACGTTATTCACGCAAAGTATTTTTCATAGTCGTCATCGCAAAAGTACCTAAAACCAATCAAACAAGAAATATTTCCAGATACAATGAATGACCGTTTGTATATTTTATTATGCACAATATATTTAATGTATTGTAAAAATAGTGTATATAAGCACAATGTACAAAATTACATCAGACTAATAAACATGTTATTTTTAAATGTTATTTTACTTGTAACAGGATTCCATTTGTAAGTTATGAATTGTACGCTAATTTATTAGGTCGCATTGAAATAAATTGTTCCGATATGAAGCGTCGCCTCATTTACTTCCCCAACGACCTTGCGCTACCACAAATCTACTTCAAAATGTTTTTGCTCGTCCCCCCTAAACAATTGATGACGTCACCGCAAAATTTTGCGGAATAATAAATAATTGAGTGATTTTGCAAAACCACCCTTATTGACATTGTTTCACTACAACTCGTCGCCTGAGAACTTGTTTGATCTACAGACCAGAGCGCGCTCATGCCAATGTCGACTCTAAGCGTTCAGAAGCGATTTGGTTGATTTGGACTATAATTTCTGGGGGAAATAGTTGTTTGAGTGGTTTTTATGACGGCTAAGTGCATATTTTTGGTATATATTTAGATGATTTTACATATTCTGTTTAACTAAGAATTATTTCTATTTTATACTAGCAAAATGTCTTAAACTAAGAATATTGTTGAAATAGTAATAACCCAATGGATTTTTTTACGTTTTGGAAACACTGTTCTATTTTGTATGATTTTTTTTTTATGTTTTTAGTGACAATTTTTGAGGTTGTTTTCGATACACTGTATGATATTAACAGTGAGAAAAAAATGAATAATTAAAATAATCGAAACCTTAAAAAATCGTAAAACCGAAACATTGAAAAATCGAAATATCGAAAAAATGTAAAATTTAAAAATCTAAAATTTAAAAACCGAATAACGAAAAACTCAGAAATCGAAAAATCAAAAGATCAAGAAATCGTGGAGTCGAAAAGTCGAACAATTGAGAAACCGAAATAGGTCAAAATCGAAAAATCCAAATCTCGATAAATGGAGAAATCAAAAAACTTAAAAATTCGAAAAATTGAAAAATTGAGAGATTGAAAGATCCAAAGAACGAGAAATCGAAAAGTGATGAAGTCGAAAAATAGAGAAATCGACAAACAAAAAGTTAAAAGTTGAAAAATTGGAAAAGCGGAAAAATCAAAAAACGAAAAAATGGAAAATTGGAAAAACTGAGAAACCGAAATAGGCCAAAATAAAAAATGATAAATCGAAAACCTGAACAATCAAATCTCGATAAATCGGGAATGAAAAATTAACAAATCGAAAAATTGAAAAACAGAACATCTAAAACCAGGAAGTGGAAAAATAGAAAGATTAAGAAATATTGAAAAATTAAAATACCAAGAGATTGAAAAATCTAAAATTTAAAAATCCAAAAATTGCAAAATCGAAAAAGTAAAAAGGTAGACACATCGAAATACCCAGAAGTCAAAAATAGAAAAGCTGAAGAATTGAAATATTGAAAAATCCTGAAACTGAAAAATCGAAAAAACAAAAAAGTGAAGTCGAAAAATAGAAACCTTAAAAAATCGAAAAATTGAAAAATCAAAAAATTAAAGAATTGAAGAACAGGAAAATCGAAACACTCGAAGGTCAAGAAATGGGAAAATCGAAACATCGATTAATTGAAAAATCCAAAAATTGCGAGTTTATAAAAGTCAAATTTGAAAAATTAAAAAATAGAAAATTTGACAAAATGACAATTGAAAAACAGAAAATCTAAAACCGGGAAGTTGAAAAATCGAAAAATTAAGAAATCAAAACATTTGAAAAATTTGAAAACTTGAAAAATTGAAATATCGAAGAACTGAAATGAAAAATCGAGAAATCGAAAAATCTAAAAATTTAGAAAATAAAAAATCTAAAATTTTAGAAATAAAAAAATCTAAAATTTAAAAATCGAAGAATTGAAAAATCGAAAAAGTAAAAAAATCGACACATCGAAAAATCCAGGAGTCAAAAATCGAAAAGTCAAAGAATCGACATATTGAAAAATCCCAAAACTGAAATATCGAAAAACTGAAAAATGAAAGAAAAACTAAAAATGGGAAACTAAATCGGGAAATCAAAAACTGACAGTTTATAAATGTCAAATTTGAAAAATTGAAAAATCGAAAAATTTAACACGACAATTGAAAACAGAAAATCTAAAACCGGGAAGTCGAAAAATCGAAAGATCAGCAATCGAAAAATTGAAAAATCGAAAAAGTAAAAAATCGACACATCGAAAACTCCAGAAGCCAAAAGTCGAAAAATCAAAATATTGAAAAGTCCCAAAACTGAAATATCGAAAAACTGAAAAATGAAAGAAAAACTGAAAAATGGAAAACCTGAAAAATCTGAAAACTGAAATATCCAAAAAACTGAGAACCTAAAAAGTAGAAAAATTGAGCAATAGAAAAATCCAAAAAGTGAAGTCGAAAAATTGAAACCTTAAAAAAATAAAATAAAAAATCAAAAGCCTGAAAAATCGAAAAATTAAAGAATTGAAGAACAGGAACATCGAAACCCTCGAAAGTCAAGAAATGGGAAAATCAAAACATTGATTAATGGAAAAATCGAAACATTGACAGTTTATAAATCTCAAATTTGAAAAATTGAAAAATCGAAAATTTGAAAAAACTACAATTGAAAAACTGAAAATCTAAAACCGGGAAGTCGAAAAATCGATTGGTTAAGAAATCAAAACATTTGAAAAATACGAAAACTTGAAAAACTAAAATATTGAAGAACTGAAATGAAAAATCGAGAAATCGAAATATCTAAAATTTTAGAAATTAAAAAATCTAAAATTTTAAAAACGAAAAATTGAAAAAACGAAAAAGTAAAAAAATCGACACATCGAAAAATCCAGGAGTCAAAAATCGTGAAGTCGAAAACTCGAAATATTGAAAAATCCCAAAACTGAAATATCGAAAAACTGAAAAATGGAAAACTTGAAAAATCCGAAAATTGAAATAACCAAAAAGTGAGAACCCAAAAAGTCGAAAAATTGAGCAATAGAAAAATCTAAAAAGTGAAGTCAAAAAATTGAAACCTTAAAAAAATAAAAAATCAAAAACCTGAAAAATCAAAAAAATTAAAGAATTGAAGAACAGGAAAATCGAAACACTCGAAGGTCAAGAAATGGGAAAATCAAAACATCGATTAATTGAAAAATCGAAAAATTGACAGTTTATAAATGCCAAATTTGAAAAATAAAAAAATCGAAAATTTGAAAAAACGACAATTGAAAAACAGAAAATCCAAAACCGGGAAGTGGAAAAATCGATTGATTAAGAAATCAAAATATTTGAAAAATTCGATAACTTGAAAAACTGAAATATCGAAGAACTGAAATGAAAAATCGAAAAATCTAAAATTTTAAATATTGAAAAATTAAAATATCAAAAATCTGAAAAATCTAAAATTTAAAAATCGAAAATTGAAAAAACGACAATTGAAAAACAGAAAATCTAAAACCGGGAAGTCGAAAAATCGAAAGATTAAGAAATCGAAACATTTGAAAATTTGAAATATGGAAGAGCTGAAATGAAGAATCGAGAAATCGAAAAATCTAAAATTTTAAATATTGAAAAATTAAAATACCAAAAAATTGAGAAATCTAAAATTTAAAAATCGAAAAAGTAAAAAGTCGACACATCGAAAAATCCAGAAGTTAAAAATGGAAAAGTCGAAGAACAGAAATATGGAAAAATCCCAAAACTGAAATATCCAAAAACCGGGAGTCTAAAGAATCGAAAAATCATAAAAGTGAAGTCGAAATATCAAAACCTTAAAAAAATCAAAAATCTGCAAAATCGTAAGATCGAAAAATTGAATAACAAATAAACTGAAAAATCCCAAAACTGTAATATCGAAAAACTGAAAAATGAAAGAAAAACTAAAAATGGGAAACTAAATCGGGAAATCAAAACATTGAAAAATCGAAAAATTTAAAACCACAATTGAAAACAGAAAATCTAAAACCGGGAAGTCGAAAAATCGAAAGATTAAGCAATCGAAAAACTAAAAAAATGGGCACATCGAAAACCAGAAGCTAAAAATCGAAATGTCGAAGAATCAAAATATTGAAAAATTTCAAACCTGAAATATCGAAAAACTGAAAAATGAAAGAAAAACTGAAAAATCCGAAAACTGAGAAGCTAAAAAGTTGTAAAATTGGGCAATAGAAAAATCCAAAAAGTGAAGTCGAAAAATTGAAACCTTAAAAAAAATCAAAAATCAAAAACCCGAAAAATCGAAAAATTAAAGAATTGAACAGGAATATCGAAACCCTCGAAAGTCAAGAATGGGAAAATCAAAACATTGATTAATTGAAAAATCGAAAAATTGACAGTTTATAAATCTCAAATTTGAAAAATTGAAAAATCGAAAATTTGAAAAAACTACAATTGAAAAACTGAAAATCTAAAACCGGGAAGTCGAAAAATCGATTGGTTAAGAAATCAAAACATTTGAAAAATACGAAAACTTGAAAAACTAAAATATCGAAGAACTGAAATGAAAAATCGAGAAATCGAAATATCTAAAATTTTAGAAATTAAAAAATCTAAAATTTTAAAAACGAAAAATTGAAAAAACGAAAAAGTAAAAAAATCGACACATCGAAAAATCCAGGAGTCAAAAATCGTGAAGTCGAAAACTCGAAATATTGAAAAATCCCAAAACTGAAATATCGAAAAACTGAAAAATGGAAAACTTGAAAAATCCGAAAATTGAAATAACCAAAAAGTGAGAACCCAAAAAGTCGAAAAATTGAGCAATAGAAAAATCTAAAAAGTGAAGTCAAAAAATTGAAACCTTAAAAAAATAAAAAATCAAAAACCTGAAAAATCAAAAAAATTAAAGAATTGAAGAACAGGAAAATCGAAACACTCGAAGGTCAAGAAATGGGAAAATCAAAACATCGATTAATTGAAAAATCGAAAAATTGACAGTTTATAAATGCCAAATTTGAAAAATAAAAAAATCGAAAATTTGAAAAAACGACAATTGAAAAACAGAAAATCCAAAACCGGGAAGTGGAAAAATCGATTGATTAAGAAATCAAAATATTTGAAAAATTCGATAACTTGAAAAACTGAAATATCGAAGAACAGAAATGAAAAATCGAAA